TCATCGCGTCCCGCGTAGTTTGCTCCCTTAGTCGGCTATACGATGACACTCTGTATTCTTAATCCGTCACCAATAACCGTCTGTATGCAGAACCGATAATGTGACCGAAATGTTTTATAATATTTTTCTTATAAAATTACATATGAATCATGACAAATATAATGTCGCGGTTATTATATTTATAACAACGTTGTCTAGCAAACCACTACTGCAATTGCGCTGTGATGGAAGTTTTTACTTTTAAATCATAATCATATGATGAAATGATTGGCTATAGTTACTGTGATTTCACCTGTGTTAAATCACTTCTGGGATTTGGTCGTGGACAAAAATAAAAGCCATAAAAAACTTAAGCAAAGATAAAACTAAACAAAGACTACGACCTATATTAAGCCTTGCCGCGAGTCTGGTGCTAGTGTAACCATAAGTCGCGGTGGTTTTGTAAATTAGTCACAGGTGTGATTATATGATTTACTAGCTGAGACCCGCGTTTGTTGTTATAACCGCGGGCAACGCCGCGGGCGAAGCTAGTCTAAAAAAAGTAGCCTAAGTTACTTCTTATGTCATCAGCTATCTGCCAGTGAAGTCCTGTCGAAATCGGTCCAGCCGTTCCAGAGATTACCCGGAACAAACAGACAGACAGACAAAAATGGTAAAAAATGTTATTTTGGCATATGTACCGTGTAAACATACATATGCATTTAGTAAAAAGCGGTTATTTTAATATTACAAACAGACACTCCAATTTTATTTATTTGTATAATAATAATAATAATATTCTACTACATTCACACAACGCCATCTAGTCCCAAACTAAGCAGAGCTTGTACTATGGGTACTAGACAACTGATATAAATACATATATACTTATTTTTTAGTAAATACATACATATTATACATAGAAACACCCAGACCAAATCAAAGATTAAATGTTCATGCACACAAATGCTTGACTTGAGCGGGAATCGAACCCGCGACCTTTGGAATAGCAGTCCGTTACACAAACCACTAATTTTCTTCCATCTCTAGTATATGCGTTAAGCTTAGATATATTTTTGATGCGTTGATCTTTTCATCTTGCTTTCCTGAAATCTATGCAAATCATTTCGTGGTACACCCTTTCTTTACTTCTTCCTTAGTCCCGTCTAAAAACGCAACAATGTAATCAACGAGCAAACGGGTCACCTGCTGGTAAGTGACGATGGTAACCCATGGTCATGGTCAAACTTCGTTTTGAGCCCCCCTCCCCCCCCCCCTCAACTAGTCCTCACTTACGGTCAAAAGCAATGAAGATATTGTTTAACAGCGGTTTTCTGTGAGACCGTGCTATCTGTCCGGTCGAGCTGGCCTATATATGCCCAACATGACTCCCGCTTTAAGATTCTGATGAAATCTTACTTTAGAGTCCGAGAGGTTCATGTAAAAGGCTTTCTATTTGTTTCTCCTTCCACATTGATTAGTTCTTAGTCTTCTTTGACCTTTTGGCACTAGAACCACCACATTAATAATTAAACTGTCCATCTAGAGTTCTAGAGGTTGCCTTGAAATAATCGCTCATCTAATCTAATACAAATAAATTAAATTGAAGTGTCTGTTTGTTATGTCAAAATAATAGTTTATTTTCATGCTCACACGGTTATTTGCACGACACCTTTGCCTAAAAACCGTAATTTCTGTATGTTTGTTCCGGATAATCTTCAAAATGGCTGGCCGATTTTGATAATATTTTACTACCGGTAGCTGTCCATATAAGGAGTAACTTAGGCTATTTTTCCTCTCAGAAAAACCCTACAAAATGTTGTCCGGTTCGGGCATCAAACCCAATGCCTCATGGACTGCAGTTTCGTACAGTACGCCCTGACTGACTGATTCGTCAACGCAGAGCCTAAACCAGTGGTTCTACAAATTTGAAATTTTCGGCTGACGCTTTCTACGTTGTAAGCACCAACTAAGAAAGGTATTTTTCAACCCTAAGGGGGTGTCGTTCCAATTTTAGTATATTTTTTTTTTTTTTTTTTTTTTTTTTAAAAGACAACTCCCGCATTAGGAATATATCCTGTGTCGCGGGGGACTTTACAAACATACATGAAACGGACACAAAGAACACCCAGACTCAGAACAACAATTTGTGGATCACACAAAGTGTCGTCCCATGTGGGGTTTGAACCCACAATACTCGGCGCAGTAGGAAGCGGCGTGGCGACCACTTAAACCACTGCGCCATCTGTGCAGTCGAATATGTACTGCCGAAGCAAGTACGAACCCTGAAAGTTCATCATTTTCAAACTTAGAAACACGAAATAAGCAATATTAAAGCGAGCGAAGCCGCGCGCAAAGATAGTTGGGATAAAGCCGCACATTGTATTACAGCACTGCAGAGAGAAGGGAAACTTGATACAAACCCTATACCAACCCGTCTGGCCAGCGTGGTATAGTAGGCCAAAACCTCCTATCTAAGGAGATGCCTATGTCCAGCAGTGGACTGTATAGGCTGTTGATGATGTTGATGATATATCTGGTACCCGCGTCTTCGCGCCTTAGTGGGTTCGGGTGATAGCACGACGTTAATATTTTTAATCTTGAGAATAGCGCATTGAAGAAAACAATTAAATTCTTCAGCGCCATAACATTAAAATAGCTATTCAGTTGTTTTACAAAAATAATCATATATTTACATATTAACATAATAATTTAAATGTAGCAGTTTTCTATTTATAGTATTTAGCGTTCTTTTTATATAATGCTTTTGTTTAAGGACTGAGTAAACAAACTGTATCAGCTTTATAGAACATACTAGCTTTTGCCCGCGGCTCTACCCGCGTAAACGTCGGTTATTGCGGTAAATAGCCTATATCTTCTCTCAAGAATCAAAGTATCTCTATACCAAATTTCATCTAAATCGGTTGAGCGGTTTAAGCGTAAAGAGGTAACAGACAGACAGACCGACAGACTGGCGCCGTAACGCGTTACGTAACGAAGCGGTTTACCCTCCCGTAAGAAGTTATCACTTCAACAATATATAAATGTTACTTGAAAACTGCTACATTAAGATAAACGCGTCTAGTATAAATGTTGACCTGTCGTGCAACGGGAAGTCTATACAACGACAATTGAATTATATTTTTTTTAACTTTTACGACTTGTATCTAGATAATATTAAATAATAATATTTAATAATAGGGTTGATTCCTAGGTTTAATATAAATTATTTCGCTTGATTTATTGACATGTAACATCTTAAAGTAATCATGAATTATTGTATTACATTATCAGTGTAATGTATTATTCTTTTTAATTCTTCAAAAATACCAGATATAAATTATTTGAAAATAGCTAAGTATGACGTCACGCCACTGTATTTCATACAAAAAATATACCGCGTCTATCGTTTTGACGTTTATTTACAAGATACAAAGATACAAATTTGATTTGACAATCTTTTACCCCCTTGTTTTTTTTCTTGAAATAATCTATTACGGTTTAGCTGTTCACAGTGTTCATGTTATAAGATTAGTTTGTTTTTTTTTTTTTGATTAGTGATGGTCTTGCACACATAACAACAATGTACTTTGCGCCGCCAACCATATGTAAGATACTATACAGATATATGTACATATATTATTAGACGGCTCTGTCGGTCTAGTGGTTAGTAACGCTGACTACTAAGCCAGATGTCGTGGGTTTGATTTCCGACCGGGACAAATAACTGTGTGATGAGACTTTATGTAAATAAGTATGTATTTAAAAGTGTATAAGTATGGTTATTACCAGTGTTGTTGGCATAGCACCGGCTCTGCTTAGTTTGAGATCAGACGGATGTATGTGACAGATAAAACAAATATGGCGCTCAGAAGCATATCATATTTTGAATACTAAATATGTAGAAGAAAACGACAAAACTAAAACTTTGAGACGAATATGTGCTAAAAAGTTGAAAACTGTGTGAAACAGCCTACTGGCCCCCTATAGCTTTATAAGGGGCCAGTAAATATGTTGACCTGACCTGGTATAAAAGTATAAACAATAACAGTTCAAATTATGCTAGTCGATAAAATAAAACACGACATCGCTAAAAGTCACATAACCGAGTTTGCTGTGACAAATTAGTTTATGAGGGCTTTATAAGATTATTTTGCGTAGAAATAAATCTCCGATCTAAATTCCTTGTTTCTAATATACATTCAAACATATACTCACGTTTTTTTCATCGAAGAGGTAGACCATAATAATTTATGTTAAAGTTGGTCTTCTGTACGATAGAGGTGCTCCATCGTTCAGAAGATCAACATTATTAGGATGACAATCTGTTTAGCAAAGCTTAATAATAATTTGATTGCTAGAGCTCAATGCGAAAAGGAGAAGTCGGGGTGGGAGGGGTGTTACGCGTGTAAGCCTAACAAAACAAGCAACATCACTGGTATTGTCTCTAATGGGGTACCGCCCATTAGACACAATACCAGTAATACGTCTATTTAGGCAAGCGGTTGCTTGCCTAAATAGACGTGTGAAAATATACGTTGCTGCTGACGTAGATGCCTTCCCCCACTTCCGCTATTCCGCTGTTAAATACGAATTTAAAATATTTGCTAATACTTAAAAATTCCTTCAATTATCAGAAAAGTTAATGATGAACGAACGACAAAAAATATTTTCTCGAATCGTATTCATTCTTGAATGAACACCCTTCAAAGTGGTCTCTAGTGATTGGACCAATTGGAATGGGAGACTGCCGGCTTACCTTAGGCTTAGGGCTTGGATAGGGGTTCGGGAGTACCTTGATGTCACATGGTCCAGGTCCTCTGCAGAGTGAGGCGTCTAAGACCCACTGTTGGGGATTGGTTATAAGTGAAAACGCCACATGCTTCTGTCTTTTTTTGGTGGGGTTTCCCACCAAAAAAAGGCGAACCTGATGTTGGCCTATGCACGGAGCAGAGCACTTTTACTGGTAAATTGCTTTTAGAATCCTGAGGTTTATTAAATATTTTTTAATATTGTTACAGAGAAAAGGACATGGGCGCCAAATTGATTGTCCAGATGGAGGCCAAGAAAACAAGATTGCTCTCTGTGAAAGTAAGTAAAATTTGTTTAATTTTTATCACTATTCTTACACTACTTACGGCAAGACTATTGGTGAGGTTGAAGAGTCATCATCATCATCATCAGCCTATCGCAGTCCACTGCTGAACATAAGCCTCTCCCATTGCACGCCACTTAGATCGATTTTGGGCTTCTCGGATTGAAGAGTACTGAAGAAAATTAATAAAAGTAAAAATTTGTTTAATTTTTCTAAGTATGCTTATTATAAAAGTACACCACAGACTACCTTAAATCATATTTGACAATATCCGTATAAAGTTTGTATATAAGAGATATTTGTTATACCAAAATGTAAATGTCCAACCATATTAGTACAAAAAAAACTGTGGCATTATACAAGAAAAATATATATATAAAAAAAACATCACCGATGCGTAAACTGAGGCTTCCTACTGCGCTGAGTGTTGTGTGTTCGATCCCCACATCGGACAACACTTTGTGTGATCCACAAATTGTTGTTCTGAGTCTTGGTGTTCTTTGTGTCCGTTTCATATAGGTATGTGTGTAAAGTCCTCCGCGACACAGGATCATATAATGTTCCTAGTGTGGATATTGTCTTAACAAATAAACATCGCTTTATCTAACTGAAGTAAAACAAGATTTGTAACAAGGTAGAGAGGTCCCCGAGATGACCCGAAACACTGGTATAGGGATACCTGTGTTTTGGGTCATCAGGCCCTCAATATTATTATTAAACTCAATGTAAATGACAAAGAAAAAAAAATAGGATGCGTTTGATGTCTGTGAAAGTCCGATTTGTTACTTGTATCACAATTGTTAAACTACTTCGTAATCGTGTATTAATGTTGCTTAATTTTTATAACAGTTTTAATTTATCTTATTACGTTAATTCTTTCATAATGTAAGTGCTCCGCGCCTCCGAGAGTACGCAAGTTCGTTGACCTTTCCATCATATGGTAGGCGATGTTAGAGGCTGTATATAAGTATACTGGCAGCCTGTTTAGTTTTAATTATACATACAGCTTATAGTTACTGTTCTGAACTTCCTATTAATGTAAATATGAAAGGTTGTTCGAAACGTACGGGAGAGACATGTTTTGGCCAACATGGGCTAGCTCGACCGGAGTGAAGCTAAGCTAACATTACACTACACTCAGTGAGTTACCAGAGAAACAACCCCCCCTACCCTTATTATGGCCTTTATTACGTTTACATGATATTATGTTATCCCTGGGGAATACCAGGTGCACCTGCGGTGGAGAATCCCTCTCGCGGGGATCAAACAATTTACTGCACGGATGGCGTAGTGGTTTAAGCGGTCACCCGCTTTCTACTACGCTGAGTGTTGTGGGTTCAAACCCCACATGGGGCGACACTTTGTGTGATCCACAAATTGTTGTCCTGAGTCTGGGTGTTCTTTGTGTCCTTTTCGTGTATGTTTGTAAAGTCCCCCGCGACACAGGAATATATTCCTAATGTTGGAGTTGTCTTTTTTAGAAAAAAAAGAAAAAAATACAGAACATGTACTTGAGCGTTGACATTCAAGCTATAACAAATTAAATATATAAATGGCGGACACATCTCTGACCTTCGATTTGCTGTTGTAATGATGAAATCAATGCAGGACATCACAACAATGCCCAAATACCTTTGTAGTTGTTAACAAAGAAATGGTTAGCATTAAAATAAATACGGTTGCTATCGGGGCAAGTTACATCTGTCCAATGACAAGTGGTCTAACTGTTAGCAAACTCAGCGGTACACCTGGGCTATGTATATTTACCAACTGACTGACTGGCCTCTAGGTCTACTGGCTAGTAACCCTGACTGCTAAACCAGAAGACGTCGTGTGATTATCACTATCCTTTGTTCTGAGTGTGGGTGTATGTATTTAGAAATATACTAGCTGGTAAACGAGACTTCGTTCGCGTGGAATTTGAAAAGCGCTGCCTTAGTGGGTTCGATTCCCAGAACGGGCAAAATTTGAAAAGGTTTTTCTGAGAGGACAAATAGTCTAAGTTACTCCTTATATAGACAGCTACCAAAATCGGTCCAGCCGTTTAGAAGATCATCCGGAACAAACAGACAGACAGACTATCCGACAGTAGAAAAATTAAACTGGTTTTAAGGCATAGGTATCGTGCAAATAACCGTGTAAGCATGAAAAAAACCTATTATTTTGACATTACAAAAAGACACTTCAATTTTATTTATTTGTATAGATATATATCAACTGTCTGGTTACCATAGTTCTGGCTCTGCCGATATTGGAATCAAACGGCTGTGTGTGTAATGTGCAAAGTTATTATTACTATAAAAGCTCTATAATTATGCTAAATAGTTAGTGCTTTTCGGTGGTTTTAATATTTTTAGGGTTCCGTACCTCAAAAGGTAAAAAAGGAACCCTTATAAGATCACTTTCTTGTCCGTCTGTCCGTGTGTCACCACCGATTTTCTCAGGAACGGGCAGACCTAGCAAGTTGAAATTTATACCAGATACTGAGGTCTATGGTCCCTAAAAGGTGTATAAAAATCAAGGTTCTGAGTCAACACGATAAAAAGATTTCGAAATTTCGATTTTCGCGAAAACTTGTAAGTACCAAAATTTACGTTATTTTTCAACTTTTTTTATTTTTCAGAATTTTCTCTTTACTTGTGCTATCAGACCTTGCTGTTAACCAAAATTTACAACTCTAGGTCAACCGGAAGTACCCTTTAGGTTTTGGGTCGAAAACCTATATGGTAGTTCCCGTTGACCTAGAATCACGAAATTTGGTAAAAAGAAACATCTTACAGCACAAATAAAGGAATAATTCCAAGTATTTAAAAAAGTTGAAAGTTAAGATAAATTTTGGTACTTTGGTACAAATTTTCGTCAAAATCTACGTAAAATCTGGGTAGGTACGGAACCCTCGACGCACGAGTTCGACTCGTACCTGACCGGTTTTTTTTTTATAAAGGCCGCAGTATTTAACATTTTTTTATGAGTATTCCTTTTTAATGTCCAGTTAGAGAAAAGGATACAGTTTGTAAACGGTGAAGGGCTGAAGAAACTGCCTGTCTTTTTCTTATTATTTAAAAACAAGTTTCATTTTAAACATTTCTGTTTTTTAATTTGAATGTTTATTATATTTTTAATTAATTATTACACAACAATTGATCTTAGGTATACTATTTCGGTTTTTTGAAGCAACATTGTCATTAAGAAAAAGACTAGCTAAGATAATTAGTGACGCAACAAATATAAATAAAAGCCAGATACGGAATGTACGTTCTGTACATTACATTTATAAAAATATTCGAGTGTAACGAAACGTCGCAGGTACTTCAAATACAGAAAACATTATTTTATTAAGAATACAGAGTGTCACCACCCCTATTCATCCCGTGGGTGTCGTAAGAGCCGACTAAGGCAGCCAACTACCAGGAAAACAGCTCTGCAAAGAGAAGGAAAACTTGAAACTAAACTTATACCAATCCGTGTGATCAGCGTGGTATAGTAGGCCAATATCTCCTTTCTAGGAGAGGCCTATGTCCACTCCATCATTTACAGACCTTGAATTTGTAGACATTCTCACTTCATCCTGACTCCTGGTCAGGTGATGACTCGTGAAGGTTTCCATACAATACTAAAAATGTGAAAGAATGATCCCGGAGGTATAGGGTATAGAGCTGCTGGTCATCAGGTCCCCAATACTAAATACGATATCCATTAGCAAATAGGATTAATCCATTATCAAATAGGTATATCACTTTGTTGTGTATGCTGGCACTGTAGGGCATAGGTCACTATTATTCTGCGTGTACGGGTATTGCGAAGAGAAGTAATTAATGAGGTCACCCAAAAATATACCTTACTCTTACTGAGGAATTACAAACAAAGGAATTACAACGACTCTCTGTGGGACTGCACGGATGGCGTAGTGGTTCAAGCGGTCGCCACGCTGCTTCCTACTGCGCCGAGTGTTGTGGCTTCAAACCCCACATGGTTGTTCTGAGTCTGGGTGTTCTTTGTGTTCGTTTCATGTATGTTTGTAAAGTCCCCTGCGACACATGATATATTCCTAATGCGGGAGTTCAAAAAAAAAATCTCAAGAAAGAATCCTTCAGGCCTTCAGCATTTAGTAAAGAACTGAAACTAGAGAACTAGATATAGTATGTGGAGGTACTGGTGCTATGTCCCTCCAACACAAAGGGTGGTTCCTCCGACCAGGCGAGGTAGCTGCGTCTAAACGGTTTATGATGGGATGTTGTGTATATGATCGGCGTAAGAACTTTTATTGCGCGATACAGGATTAGCAGTTCGGTGTCTTCGTTATGAAGTATGTTTTTATTTCAGTGCATGTAGAAGTGTAGAGACTAAATACCAAGGCTATACGCCATAACGAGCGTTCAGAAATTCACTTCGGATATAAAACAGAAGTGTAGAACGTTATCATCAAGTAAAGCCGTATGAAACAAAACATCTGTGTGTTATATTTATAACTGAAAACTCCAGGCAATCTCTTTCTGTAATATTTTATTTCTATACTATGCCTTTACTTATCTTTAATGGTCCTTTTGGTAAGCCAAAGATAGTAGCGTCAGGTAACCCCTGTGATCGTAAAAAAATAACTTTGAAAACATTAACTTTGTTCTTTATGGTCATGTAAAAAGAACGCCTCTTATTGTCAATTTGAGTCACTCAGCCAGTCTCATTTATTCGGAACTGAATAGTAACGGAACAGTAACATTTATTCGGATAAAAAATAACTAAAGTACCCGGTACAATAAGCACATTGTAATTATTAAAAAAGTAATCAAAGTCAAAACGTCATAATTACACGCGTTGATAAGATCGTGATAGCGATGACTTCCAATAAGTATTGAAAGTTATTATAAAATATGTGGTTTTGCTGTATCAACAACTGAAGTGTGACGTGTGTTTTTGTTATATAATTCTCATAGTTCACACAACTGTGAAAATATTGGAGGCCATGGGCTAGTTTAAATACGTTTCTATAGAATTTGAC